CTGGATACTTGTTTTTTTACCATCTGAATCACGTTTTACTAATTTGTGCCATTGAGTGCCTGCAGTATTGTACCTTGGCTCTGATAAGAGTCTGCGGCACCGGGGAACATCTCGCATTGAGCATAAGAGCCAGCGGCAGCGAACGTGTTAAATAAGATATCTATAAAAAACGATTTTATTTAAAATAGGGATTTAAAAACTCCTAGATACTCATAAAGCTGCACCTGATTTTATGAAACATTTTAAACACTAAACCTACCAAAACACTTAAAACTTCTATTTCTATCATAGCTGATCAAATGACCGGACTTTACGAAATTTGGATGTTAGGAAAGAAATAACAAAATAACTTTATTTTAATTAACTGTGTCTTATTAATAGAAAACATAATAAGGTCAAATGTGGAAAAGTGATGATATTTTTATTTTTCATGTTAATCTTTAATTTAGTATATTTAGCATTGAAATTACACCTTGCAAAAATTTCAATTCAAACGAGTTACCATTTAAATCATTTTATGTGTTTGAGATGGAATAAGTAAAATAGATGAAGCACATTTTAACTGTAATAAATTTTTGACGAATACTAATATAAATGTACATGAAGTTCAAACAAAAAAAAATAATTGCATACCAACACCGCATAGTAAAAATGCTTTTCTGTCTCACTAACTGGTACGTAATTAAAAGACATTTCAGGGTATATAATCAGTTTCAACAGAAGAAAATGAAAAAAAGCACATATTCGTCTGTGTTAACGTTGCTTGGTAGCTTTGAACAGTGTTTCAATTTACCCAAAATTTAATGGCCAAGATTTGCATTTTCACTCTCTCGATACTGATATTTTCGCAAAACTTCTCGTGAGTAGAGGACAAAAATTTTGGCCATATTTGTATTTTTTATAACCTTCGACTATTAATTAATTTAACATTTGATGCATGTCCCCACATACGTTCCTTGAGCAAAAGGGGTGAAATAAATAAGCATTGAATTATACAATAGTAATACCAGTTTTGCACTCGGCAACATGCGCACTAACAAAACTGCTGATTCTGTCATTTTTTTGCATCTGGTCTTGCAGAAAAACCAATGAATTGGATTTTCATGTCAGATTGTTTGCAATTTATTGATTGCAACCTATATAATGTCATATACAATCAACATAATGTAACTTTTTAAGCTATGTAATGCGGATACCGGCAGTTTCAAGAAAATGACAAAAATAATCAGCTGTTTTTGTTAATGAGGATGCGTCTGATCAAGATATTTTTTGTATCTTACTGAGTGTAAAGCAGGTATTAGGAAGATATTTGATAACGTTCCTGTCATATCCACTGTCGTGGCAAATAAGGCGCCATCATGATAAGGTAAATGAAGTGCAGCGGAAGACATCCATTAAGAGTACTACGTAATCCTAAGATTTATTCAACGTACAAAATATGTTACAACTTATAAAAATCCTTCTTAATATACCATTTTAATTATTAGTACTGTTCGTCAACATCATTTCCTTGTGCTCGCTTGAGTTGCTCAAGCTCAGCTGCTTGCTGCGCGTGTTCTGCAGCAATCTGTTGGTACAACGCTAAATGCTTCTGTTTAGCGTACTCGACTGTTCTTGTGTCCAACGGTACTATCACTCTTCCCTGTGAGGCTTTATGGGACTGTGCTATCGCTGCGTATCTAGAATAAAATATATCTAGTTGTTTTAGTTTCCTTAAGTTCCTTTTCTGAGTTGGTGGCTAGCTCTAATGTTCAAAATCACCACAATGTTAATAATAATCTGCTTTTTCACATTCAGGTTGGAACGGGGGAGGGTCATATATTACAGGTTCTTTTAAAAAATAACCTAAGTGTAAACTATCATCAGCTATACATAAGTGGCCTTCATTCAGCATTCAGTGCTTTGAAATTCGTTCCGAAGGTTAGAATGTATACTGAAGTATTTGACGAAAAAGATCACGTGATCCGAATTGGTGTCATAAGGTCGTCATATATAAAAATGGTGACAAAACTGGAGAATACTTCTTCGGGCGTATATCTCAATGATTATTGGATTATTCGAAAAATGTAAAATCTCAAAATATGTTTGCCTTAAAAAAAAAACAGGTAAAATGAGATTTACAGATTAAAATCGGCCTAGTGGTTACGAAGATATGTTGAATATCGGTTGTACCAGTTGCCGGCCATTTTTAAATATTTTTTTATATATCGCGATAGGTACAATAATGTCCTGCCATGCAGACTGAGGATACATGTGACCGTAGTGTCTGCTCCTAGACTTTTGCGGAGAGACGAGTTTTAGGTTATCCCATACGAAATCCGAAAATATACTACTTTGTAGGACAAAACTTCCGTATTCAACTCCCTTTCACTCAAACTTACGTGCTTATTGTATTTTGAACATGAGAAATATAACCATTGTGAAATTGGTTCAAAACGGAACAAGTGCTTGTCTCCGCGACCTCCTTCTTTTTTTTTCAATATTGTGCTTTGTTGATATATTAAAAAGTTACCTTTGCAAGTGTTTTTGTTTAGCAGCTGCTACAGCCGGAGTGTCTGATGGTAGATCAGGAACATGTTCGTTAAGAACTGGGTGAAACCCTTCCCGATCTGCTATATACTCCACTGTCCGGATTTTGTGCTTTGGATCTACGTAAGAGTATGATCCTGCAAAAAAATTCAATATTCGTTAGCAAATAATAGTAAAAATAATTCCGGCTTAATTAGGGCGAAATTTAGGTAATCGCTACTCTTACATTTAACGTTGTTAACAAAGTAGATTATATAGGAACATCGAGAATAATGTAAATGACCTACAAAACCAAAACGTGAAACTGGCTATATCACTATTTCAGTAGCATTTACCAAATATTCTTTTTATCTCATTTTTCACCTGATTGTATAATTTCACATCTTTATATGAGAAAGATCTTTGAGATAGTGCTGAATGGTGACGAGGTATACTTGTTATCCCCTGGTATGAAAAGCTTATGAAAAGTCGAGAAAACGAATCCAAATACCTCCGAAACATCGACTAAAGTATTTGCTACATAATTTAAAAATAAAATGGCTGCCTTTAGCGAGGATTCCAAAATCCAATCTTATTTTTCTATTTCTTATTGAGCTACATTAAAAAGTCATTTGACTTCTACTGGAGCAAGGCCGAATTTTGCCTTTGAGTCAGAGAGGGTACTTATTCAACTACCTACAAGTCCCATTAATATGTTTAAAATAACAAATCTAAGAAAACATTTCATTTTCAGATCATTGCTTTCTTGTGGAACTATTTATCACTTCTTGTAGATTGACATGTATGTTTTTGTGCACGTGAAGGAGTGCTAGCCCAGCTTAGGATATCTCCTGCTATAGACAGTCTCAACCATGCTTGGAGCCTCCTCAGAACAGAGACATCTCTGCTGTTGCCACAATAACTGGTAGTGTAGCAAGAATGTATAAACATTTTTCATGTTGTGATACGTTTCATTATCGCAAAAAATAATAGTGGCCGATCTCAATTCGCTCGCGAGACGGGAGGGACGGGTCACCTACAACCCCCTGGATCTGCGTTGGTACTGGTGTAATGTAGGTAAATTATAATTTTAAATAGTCCCATAATTAAGTTAGGGGTTCTAATTTAATTGAGAAGACCATAACTAACTTCGTCCTCGTCCTGTTGAAAGATTTTATCTTTCTATCAAGGTATGATCAGCACGACAGCCGTTGATGAAACTTCTGCCAAATGACTGGCCAAACAACCACAGACAATGAAATCTGACTGTACGTAGACCGCTTTTAACTTCCATACTGAGCACCCGAATGCGAGAGAAACTGTAGATTTACCAGCTTTCTCGTTGAATATTTCAAAACAAATTTTTAGATAACGTTTTGATTTCTTCAAAATTGGAACTATCAGCTTTTCAAATATTTCTGTAAAATTTCTGAGGAAGATTGAAATAATAGGAGAAAATGGAAACCATCTCACGTAAATGTTATATGGATTATCTCAGAAACTAAACGGAATATTTCGTTCAAACTTCACAGAAACATGTGTCGATATAATACCTTGAGCATATAATTTCAAATAGTCATACAAATTGCGAACAAATTCAAGTAACACCTCAAACACCACTAGTTGCAGTTGCTGAAACACAATGAGAAACGGTATAAGACATGAGTGCATTTAATAGAGTTGTACTAAATCTGGAAGTGCCTAGATATGTTTTGAACAATTTTTATAGGTTGAAAATCTAAACAACATTGAGTAGAAAGGAAATACACATACCTTATCTAGGTATCCGGTTAGACGGTCAATGGAATTACTCGCAAGGAGTCAAAATTGAATGTCGGTCCGAAAAGGAGAGACCATTATTTCAAACGGTGTCGACGGTTTTAAAAACCATTAAAAAACAAACAAAAGCAAGACCTCTAAAATTCGACGTTTTTCTGTCTTGCCATACGGAGTTGAATCTTGAAATTTGACGGAAGCAACCATTAAGAACCTGGAAGCCTTCAAAAGTTTTGTAGATAACCCATGCACCCAACGAGTTATTGCGCAGAATAAAATAAATAACGAAAATCATTTCAACAGTAAAAACACGGAAACCTGAGCATCTGAGTCAAATTCCCAATACACCGCCAAATGCATTTAATAAATACGACGACTAGTGAAGACTTCTATATCCCTATAGAACTCAAATTATGAATGAGTCCCAAACATTAATGGCCTAAAAATGACTAACCTAAACCTACTGCCTTCAGAAATAAAGAATTGCCACAGTCTAAATACATTTAGGAATCTCTTAAAAGACTATTTAAGTGTGCAAGAATATGTGCCGTTAAATCTTATTTTTTAGTATTTGACTGTTTTTTGTTAGATATAGATTTTTTAGATTTGTCGAGAGGAAGTAAATAAATAAATAAATTAAGTCTGATATAGACACTTAAGATGTTCGTTTTACTTATAAGCAAGTTTTTTTTATACTCCAATTACCACGAAGGCCTAAGGCCTTAACACCCATTGGGTTTACCGTGGGGCTATAGGGGATACAGGGGAAAGGGGGGACGCCACACGGACTCTGGCGAGGGAACACGTGTGCATGCAACATGCACACATTCTGGCTCTGCCTACGAGATCCGCCGGGTGGTACCTCCGCGTTCGACAGTCAGAGACCTTCTACCACCTACGGACAATCACAACATCCATAGCCAAGAGAAAAATTTCTCCTGGAACGGGACTCGAACCCGCACAGCGCACGGCGACTGATCGGGAGACCGAAGATTCTACTACTGGGGCCACCGCTGCTGCCTAGAAATTTGTGGTGATGCAAGTTGTAGTGTCTGTCGTATCCGACATCATGTGATTGTCAGACATTCAGACACACAAGTCTTTTCCTCAACCAAGTTGGTACACGCGTTAAAATTAGCCTGTTGATTTTGCTCATGCTGAGCAATTGACAGGGCACCAAAACATAAGCAATGCCAGCATTTATGAACAATGAGCAAAAATAACTTCTACAGAGAATTATAAAAATCAAAATATCTGGAGGACGTGTTCTAGCAGTAAAATAATATCGTGGCTGAAAAGCTTAGGAGACGATTCTCTTTAATAACAACAGGGCTCTTCCGGTCAGCGGTCAACAAAATAATAACAGGAATGATCGCCGACATCCGGAATGGATAGGAACTCGAAGAAGATGGCCTGCAAGGTGAAGCGGTTTTTCGAGTCTTCAGTGATCATAGAACTATTTTTTGAAAATCTTACCTTGTACTACACCAGATCCATCAGATACTTCGGAATGTGTTCTGTCGATGTGTCCTGGATATCTTCCAGCCGCATAACCAAATGCATATGGCCTGGGTGGAGGTTGTGGAGTGGCTATTTCTTCCTCAACGTACTCGTGAACGTGCTGCAGATCAGCGCCGGTTGTTACGTGTAACATGATCAATAGCGCGAACGGCGATAAAAGTATCTAAAACAGAATACGCATTTGGTGCTAATAGGCAATTGGTCCTTAGATCAACTTATCTAACAGCTTCTTTTGTAATGGCTGTTTGAAGTACCGCTCGGATTTTGATCTAATTTTCAAATAATGTTACTAGTTACTAGTATGCCAAGGACGAAAAAGTTTTTGAAAATCGCTCCAGTGACGTCGAAAGAAATTGTGGGGATTAAAAATTTTGGGAGGGGGTGGGGGGCAGTAAATCTAATTTTTTTGCGGCAGTAATTCTACGCTTCTAGCTTCGTTAATTCTACGCACCTATTAGTACTACATCATAGATTTCCCCGTTAATTTGCTCTTAAACTTAAAGTAAATAACGAACGTGTCGCGTCTAGGCCGTGCTTGCCGTAGAGCCGTTTTACACACAAGAGAATTACTCCGAAAATTATGGTCATAATTATGCCGAAAATTTTTGCTGTCGTATTACACGTAAAAGAATTCTTGTGAAAATTTTCATGGTAAAAATATAAAACCCGTTCTATATTATATGCGCGAGAATCGGCGCAGAGGGTTATTTCCGTGCATGTCAATATCAAATGTCAACGACAACAACAACAACAACAACATAACCTCACTTAACATTTGTGGGAGTGATCCTGTTCGAGTCGTACGAAGGAGCGTTTATTGTTATTGTTTATTCATAATGTCGTGGAATCGGGAAGAATTTACAATGTTGTTGGAGGAGTACCAAAAATGGCCAAACCTGTACAAGGTGAAGTCACCCAATTACAAAAACAGAAATTTGCGGCGTCAGGCGCTGGATGCGATAGTCCAAGCATTGAGAAGTTTTATAATATTAACCAAGATCTCGATTTCAAAAATAAATTTAAATTATCGACGTCTGTTGTCTTTCCGATTATATTGGACGTCATACCCGTTAAGGTTATGTCCATTTGAAAATATAACTCTAATGCGCAGGCGTATCATATGAATTACTCCGAAATTTTGTTTGCTTGTGTCATACAGGTTGTAGAGAAAATCTTCAATATTTTTTCCATGCAAATTTTCAGCATAATTATGACCATAATTTTCGGAGTAATTCTCTTGTGTGTAAAACGGCTCGTAGACTACAAACTTACACTGGTGCGCACAAAATCCTGTCTGCGGCTGCCTCTGCCGCCCGATCTCTGACCGCCTCACCGCTTGATCTGGACAGCATAGCATGGCTGACGTTGCCAGATGGTCGTTATTTTCAGTACGGGTTGGGAAGAAATTTCTACTACGTAGCCTTATCAAATGGGCGGGGACTATGGTCTTATTATTTAGGTCTGTTTGGGACACTTGGCCCTTTTAATTCTCTTTTTGTGTTATACATGTTCCTAGTTAACTTATTTCTTATAATATTATGAACTGATAGCGTTGTGTGGGAAATGCATAGTCAACCGACTTGACGTCAATTTTTTTGTGTAAAGATCGCGAATACACGAATTTTTTTTTCATAAGAATAGCGATCGTGGAGGTACCACCCGGTGGATCTCTAAAACAGTGCCAGAATATGTGCATATTGCCCCTCAGTACAAACAAACGGGTAACAATAAGAGATTTCTTCAACCTTCACCTACCCGTGTATACTTGTCATTTTATTCGAATATGAAGAATTGTGGTTATGAGCCTTAGATTCTGCATCCTCTAGCATGCCTAGTAAATATGAAAACTCCCAGATCGCTACTAATTGATTTTTTATCATCAAAACTTTTTTATAGATTATTTTATTTTATATACCTGTATATTATACTTTTATGTCGATAAATATTAATTCCTCCGATACTTCGTTATTGGATATATGCACATTCACGAAAATGATTTTGCAATTATTACAAACAACTGAAATTTGATTAATTAGCTGATATTTAATGCCACGCTAATTATTTACGGCGAATACCCAGATAGCTCTAGAGATTCTGTTAGCATTATGACACATGCATATGATTAACTATAAATTTTAATACTTCCACTTATGAAATTATACATTTGGAAGTGCACCAGAGTCGTGTTCAATTCATATCTAGACAGGGTGGCGAATCGAAAGCTTAGGTAATTCCAATATGACACAGATACCTGAACATTGGTCTAAATATTTCTCTTCTTGATTTATTGTTAATGAATAAGTCACGAGACAAGGATTCTTTGCATGGGGATCTCAATATTTGTGGGAGATACAACTCAGGTTAAATTAGGTAAAGGCTGGGTTCTGGTCGTATTTACTTGCCGTTGAGAAACTTTCATGATTAATGAGATATTTGGGAAAAACTAAAATTTATCCAAATCATTTTTATTTTTTCTGACTTTATTTTAAGAAATATCGAAAAACTAATAGAACTTTTTCATTGGCACTTTTTAGGCTACATGATGGTGTTCTTAAATTTTATGACCGAGGTTTTGTTTTTGAGAAACCATGATCAACTTTATTTATTATATGGTCCGAAAAAGAAGTACACCCTGTATCTGATAGCGAATTTTTCTACGAATTAAACTATACATACTGTGATCATAAGGTGAAATTGTAATTTAAAGCTACCGGGTATTAGGAAGGCAGGTACATTTTTTTCTCAGGTTGGTAGGACTGTCTATAACATTTGACAAGCGTCTGTTTGTCAAAAGGTTTAATTATCTCCGAGTTGCACGTGTTTTTTTAAACAACCAAGACTGAATTTTTCGATTTTTACAATGAGTGATATTGTTGAGCAAAGAACTTGCATCAATTTTTGTTTGCTGAACGAATATTCTTGTGCGGACACGTTGAAAATGTTGCGGAAGGTCTTTGGTGATCAGACTATGGCAGAAAAAAAATATTTATAAGTGGAACAACGATTTTAAAGCTGGCCGAGAACGCGTTGAAGACGAACCGCGCTCTGGACGACCATCAACGTCTACCGACGATTACTACGTCGAACGATTTGGTGCTTGAAAATCGTCGATTGACAATAAGAAACCTTGCTGATAGTGCTGGAATGTCATTTGGCTCAGCTCAAACCATTGCGAAGGATGTTTTGTGTCTAAAATGCGTCAAGTCTCGATTGATGCCAAAATAAAACTTTGCTGACTGACCATCAGGACCACTTGAAATATCGTGCAAAAGGTGAAGCAACACCGAAAACACCACGGCAAAGTCGATCGAAAATCAAGGTCATGTTGACAGTTTTCCTTGATTATCGTGGTGTCGTGCACTATGAATTCCTTCCGCCGAGCCAAACTGTCAACAAAGAATATTATTTGAGCGTTTTGCATCGTTTGCACGAAGCTATTCGTCTGAAACAGCCGGAATTATGAATGAACAACTCTTGGTTCCTTCATCACGATAATGCTCCATGTCATACTGCATTGATTCTTCGCGACTTTTTTGCAAAAAACTCGATCGCATTGTTCCGTCTGATTTGGCTCTGTGCGACTTCTTCCTATTCAGCAAACTCAAAAGGCCAATGCGTGGATGCCGTTTTGAGACGATTGAGGAGATAAAAACTGAATCGAAGAAGGTATTGAAGCTTATACTGGAAAAAGACTATTCCGACTGTTTCGGGGATTGGAAAAAGCGTTGGCAAAGTGTGTTTTATCGGACGCGAATTACTTTGAAGGGGATGAAATTGATTTGGAAGCATAAATAAAGAATTTACATTTTATAAACAATTTCACTTTACTTTTTTTTAATTTATTGAAGTCGGCATTGCAAACAAATGCTTGATGTAAGAGTATGGGAAATTAAAATCTTCACTAATAAATTGAGCTGTGGATCTGGCTACTCCTACATTTTTGTCAATTTGCCTAGTTGATATCTCAGAGTTCGCAGCATCTGCTTGTAAGATACAGGGTGTACTTTTTTCCGAACCATATAAAAAATAAAGTTGGTGATGGTTTCTCAAAAACGAACCCTCGGGCACAAAATTTAAAACCACCAGCGTGTAGTGCCTGAAAAGTTCCAACAGAAAAGTTTCATCAGTTTTTTTATACTGGTCAAAATAAATTAAAAAAAAAAACGATTCGGCCAAGAAATTTGTACAAGTTTCTCAGCGGTTTTTAGATACGCCGTACGTAATGCACCTTTTTGCTAATTTAACCTAAGCTATATCTCCCACAGGTTCTGAGGTATTTATGCATATGACCCTTATATGCCTGAAATTATGAAAAATGGACAATTAAGTGTTTTCAAAAATTTTTGAATCAATAGAATAACAATGTCGTTACCCCCAGAAAGTATGTTCTGAGTGTTTACCCTTTCTTCTATGAACAAGAATTGGCAAATTTGTCCTCCAAAGTTGAAACGTAACATTTCGCACGAAACTGTGGCGTGATAGATTTTGGTATCAAAAACCTCTATTTTATATAAAAGAGGACGTTGACTTATTCATTGAGTGAGACTC